TTGTCCAGACCAGCTTGGACAGCACTGTCATATTTAAATAGTACCTGCTGTCCTAGAACTGCAAAATGCATAATACATACTAGTTAAGTCACCATCTTTGTGAGATGACTACATAGGGTGTGAATGCTTCAGGTGCCATACTATACCACAGTTGCCCTTAATTTTTGCTCTATAGGTAAGAAGAGAACAAATAAGATCTCCCCCAGGCAAGCTGACTGTGGTAGGCGCTATAACAGTCCTTGGCTAGTAGGTAGCAGGATCCGGTTTGCTCTGAGCAAACAGCTTCCCCATGATGGAAATGACTAGGGGAGCAGAAACATGGCCAGTAAACTGGTTTCATTTAGACTAGTGGATATTTACTTCCCACTTACTGAAGGGTCGCTTTATTTGGGAGTGTGGTGGGTTACACCAGTGCTAGGCTGTACAAAGTGTGACCATTTCACCTTTACCTTGGAGTAAAGTCAAATTACTCTGGAGTAAGCAGTATGGCTGCACCCATAGTATAATGAAAGGTTATTGCATAGGTAGATTACACACTTTATGGAACAGATGCAAAATGTTTAATGCTGTATCATAGACCCTGTACTGCCTGCAATATGGTATGGGGCTCTGATATTGGAATGGGCAGATCAGAGCTTTGTTCCTACCATTACTGAAAAGTCTTTTTTCCAACCATTCACTTCCCATCATATCTTTTCTACTTCCCAGTCATTCTTCCTTCCCCGTCATCTTAGCCTCTCATGCCCTTGGTATCCTTCTACTGTTCTTGCTTCAAGCCTTTTACCTTTTTTCCATTGTGCCTTGTAAACCTTCCTGTCATGTAGGTAAGGAATCCCTGTGCCAGCGTGAACATGGTTTAAAGTGGGGGCTATGTGTTACCCAGGAGTGCTTAATAATCCTGATGGAGGTCTGGACCCCTCTGTGCTAGACATTGTCCAAACATAGAAGGTGAGAGTTTCCTGCCCCGCAGTCTAAACAGACAAGACAAACAAATGGATATTACGTAGGAGCAGAGTGACAGGAGTGATGGTTTGAAAACATCGTGTTAGTTCCATGATTTCATTAAAATTTATGGTTGGTTCCTGTACCTAATGACACTGAAGTCTAGGTAGGTTTCCTGCCTTGGGATAAATATCACCTTCAATGCAAAAAGGTAGCCATTTTGTCTTTATCGCATCCCTTCTGGAGATATAGTTGCTTCAGCCAAGAAAGGAAAACTTATCTAATGATTAATGCCTTACTGTGGGCTTTGGGAGACTTGGGTTTCATTTCCTTGTCTGTGCTTCTTATGTGAGCTCAGGCCAGTGACTCTGGGCATGTCTATACAAGAAGGTAACTGAGCAGCTGACTAATTAGCTGTACAGTAAACACCCATGTCTACATGTGCACTCCTATTAGGCTGGAGTAAATTAATGTACTTCCAACCAGATAGTACTTATAAATACAAGTACTAGCTGCTCCGGGGGGGGGGCAGCCTACCAGCCCGGGGCTGCTCCAATCTGGCTCAGTGTGCTGCGGAGGGACTGGCTGGGGCAGGCAGCCCCACACTGAAGCACCCTTGTGCTCCAGCCAGCTAAGGCAGCATCTACACATGCACTGTTGCAGTTTTTTTTACTCTGTACCTTCTGCCAGCCAGGGCTGATCCAATCCAGTTCAGTGTGCTGCACTCCTGGGTGCATGTGCAGACATGTGCCCAGGAGCAATAAACTGATGCAATAAGCTCTGGAGTTTGTACATGCATGCTAATGGCATGTGTAGACACACCCTCTGTGTCTTAGTTCCACACATGTAAAAAAGGAGAAGTAGCACTACCCTACCACATGGGGCATAATGAAGGTAAGCACATTAAAGACTGTGAGGTGCTTACATATGATGGTAATCCCTAAGGTAGATCCAAAGATAGTTTCTAAACATGCATGATTACTACTATTGCCCCTAGAGCATGCACGCTACAAAAGAAACCGAAAGACTTAGTCTGAAACTGATTGTCTCAGACTGGTTTCCCGTCTTGTCCTCACCCACTGCTTGGTGCATTGGAATTACACTATTTGCCAGTTTAGACTGTCAGCTTCTTGGGCAGCAGTCATGTTTGGTACCATATAAAGCACAGTCAGAGCTTGATAAAAAATGAATAACATTTTACAGATGGTTACAATGAAAAATAAAATGGGGAAACATGGACATTAAGTGGTTTATGCAACATCAACGACAAAAATTGAAATACAGAACCCAGGAGTCCTGCCCCAGTAATCGCACCCTGCCTGAATTACTAGAGCGAGCCGCCCTTTCATATATCTCTGCCATGTGCACGTCAAGACTCTGGATGCAAGCAGCATGATTTTCTCATTATTCCAATTTTGGAAACATGGAAAATTTGCAAGGGAAAAGTACTAGAAAAATCAATGCTGACAGCACACACCAAGAGGGAGCAGGGAGGAGGGCAAGGCTGCAAGGGAGATGTAGCAGTCTACTGATGCCTCCAGATCCTCTGCAATCAATAATTCCACTGATGGCAGTGTTCCCCATTGTTGATAGTACACTTGATCATATGCAGAGCTCCTCCGCTGCCTTACACAGCCTAGAAATCACGTCTGACCTCTGCAGATGTTTCTTTGTGAAGATAAAAGGTTATGGCTAAGTGTTTTTTCTCCTGTTCAAGTACAAATGTGGGTGTGCTGATGTAAATCAGGAGGTAGAAAGCCCAAACCAATTCTTGGAAGCAGATGTCAGAAGTGATAACTAGACTGTGGCATGTGGACTTGGACAATTGTCTTCCAGGTAAGAGAAAATTAATTCTAGGGATGGCTTTTCTCTCTGCAAAGATGCAGCTTCAGGGTATGAACAGACATGCATTTTAAGCACCCTGAATCTTGGAGCACTTCAGATTTGAAGCACTTGAGAGCTGTGCAGACATACCCCCTGTCCCCGTACACATCCCAGAGCACTTCACAATGTCTGCACCCAGGTTTTATGAAAGTGAAAGAAATGGGGGTATAGTTGTACTGGACCTTCAAACTTGGGGGATCCCACATTAGCAGATCACTGTGTCCTGTTTCCAAAATGGAAGATAGGAGTTCCCCCCTAGAAGAATATACCAGACCTCCAGATTTCTCTCACAGGCCCTGGCTGTGAAGGCACACAGAGAAATCAGGTGTTGGCATGGGGTGGGGAGCAGAGCATCAGTACACCCCCCCTACCCACCCCCATGGCCTCCTACACTGCTTTATATTTGAAATGGTCTGTGTTATTTAGGAACAGGTCTATACTGCTTCCATGGTGTTCTTAAGAGCAGCACCCAGAAGCACAAAACCCGCACCAAACTTGGAAATGAAGTGGTGAAGCCCCCATAGACGTGCCCTCAAGCTCTCAGTCTGCAGCCCTAGCCCCAGGTGCCCTCAGGGAGGCATCACTATCTCCGTTCCAGTTCTGGCATGTGTGGAGCAGAAACAGGAGGGCTGGACATGTCTGTCACCAGATGAGAACAGTATGAACATACCTTGCTATCCTTTTACATGCATGCTGCATCCTCTTAACATGCAATGAAAACATTTATACTTCCTTGGCAAGAAATATTATGCCTATACTTCCTTTGAAGTGACAGGGAGTTTTGCTGCTGACTTCAGTAGGATCAAGTGGGCATTTGAATTTAAGAAATCCCACAGAGCCTTTATGGAGAAGACCAGTCAGTAGTGAGCCATAAACTCAGGGAAGTTCTGCTATGGAAGTGTCTCCACTTTAGCTTTATTACTTCTTGGAAGGCATGTGCTCTGGAAATGCCTGTCAGAGCAGGTTACACACAACATGCAGTGACTTCCGCCATTTCCTTCAAAAACATGATGGCTGGTGGCGACCTTCCCTTTTAACCACTAGCTAGTGTTTAAACCATTCACCTAGATTAATGTGGAAAACCTAGGTTCAGCTCCCTCCCCTGTCTGTGGGGATTCTCCTTATCCCTCCCAACTCCCAGGGAAGCATCCTAACCACCAGCCTATAGGTGATTCAGAGGTAAGGCATTTCCAGACTTTCCTATTGAAGTTGTTCCACTATAAATACAAGAAGTATAGGGCACATTTATACAGCACATGGCAGTACCATGCAGAGAGACTCCAGCTAGCTCTGTGTTGGCCAGGTCCAGAACAGGAAGCAGTATAGCTTCATGACAGCAGCACAGCTCCTGGCCCAACTAGCTCTGCTCATTAGCCTAGGGAGAGGTCCATGCTACTTGAAACAATGCTTCCCATTCCAGTGTCCCACCGCTAGCACCTTCAGGCTTGGCTTGAGTATCTCTATGGTGCTGCCTTCCAGCATGTAAGTGGCATACGGCACTCAACTTAGGGCATGGCGGAGTTGAGCCTGTCATACACCACGACTCATCAGAGCAAAGAAAGGGACTCTCAGGGCTGGTGACAGGGTCACTCGCTTGGAAGTGAGGATGTTAGATTCCCATCCTTATGCCCATGACTGATTAACCTAATATTCATAAGCGGTCTTTGAAGTAGGGACCCAGTTCTTCCTCCTCTCAGATGAGTAACTACTTACTAGGCTACAGAGTTGTGTTTGCTGGTTCTGTCTATTTTTTTGATCCCGGCTGTCTTTTTATGACAAGGCAAAACAGGTGCAACATGAAGTCACATGCCTGCCCACCAGCATAGCACATCGTAACCTATGGCCTGGTGGATCACGCTGTCCTCGGCATTTCCTCCTGGCCAGCTTTGGGGGCTCTCTGCTCAGCATGGGAGTTTTTTTTTTTCTAAGGCACCTCACTCTCCCCTTGCACTATGTAAGGAGCCTCAGTGCCTAATTCAAGCCTGTAGCATCCACGATGGTGGTCAGTTGCTAAAAGGCATCTCAGTGCTAAGCAATGCATCACCCAAGCCCCTTTGTGGACTTCAGTATTGTCACTCTTCCTTTAAATAACTAGGGCCTGTTCAGTGTAATCAATGGAAATTGTGCCATTGAGTTCAATAGGAGCTGGCCCACGCTGCTTCAATGAGCTGTCAATCAAGTCACTTCCTCTGGGCTGCAAAGGAGCTCTTCACAGTCAGCAGAGTAGCTGTGTGCACTGTCCTGGGACAGCAGGTATCCAAGCTTTTTTGCTGTATTATAAATATACAGTATTGCCTATCCCAAACATTGAGTTTTGTGCAGCAGTCCCCCAAGGTCATAAGACTAACTAAAAAATAATATTAAGTAAAAAAAAATTTTAAAAAAAGACTATACTTCTTGTGCTCTTGGTTTCCTGCTTTCTGAATGCCCTTTGGAGGCATTCAGGTCATTTTCAAGCTTTTCTCTGCAATCGGGAAGTCTAGAAAGGTTTTCCCTCTCCCCACTCCTCTCTCCCCTTAATGAAAGTTGAGATTCTCACATCAGCACTTGACTCCAGGAATTTGGAAATTAAGCAGCAGACAGAGTGCCATGAGGCTTGTGATAAATTACAAGACATAGCAATGCTAAGTAAGGGCAACTGAACTCTTGCTGCTCTTTGGATAGCAATAGGCTAAGACACAGCTTTGCTGGCTGATGTGCACAGGTGTGAAGGATTTGGCATTTGGGTTCACTGCAGATCCAATCCAATTAATCCAATCCACTTCTTCCACCCCCCAGGTGCCTAAGGCAAAGGTCAGGCTTTCCAGTCAGTCCCATCTTGGGCCAGTTCCTTTAATTTACTCAGGCTGTTAACCTGAAAGGTTGCTGCTTTTCTCCATAATATTCTGCAGAGGGTACCTCTATACTGACCTCCTTTCCTTTTGCCTTAGAGTTGCTGACACGTGGCTTGTTTGGAAAGCCTGTTCTCTGGCACCCTCAGAACGTGGCCTAGGTAAGTCCACCTTCTTGCCTGTCATATTTGCATGACTTAACTGTGGGCAATTGCGTCCACTCCAAGATTTCAATCTTTTTTATTCTGGCCACTTCAGCCAAGTCCCTAAATACTGAGATGGTGTTTTGTAGACTGTTATACAGAGTCCTAGGCAAAAGTGAGAGGGATGTTTTAATTTTCTTGTACTTCCTGTTCTGGTTGGGTTAGAAATGCTGCTATGCATATAGCCAATACTAATAAGTGGGCCAATTCATGGGTAGCATGGCTTCTCCTGCAGTAAGAGTGGGCATTTATTGGAGTTGCCTTTCTTCTAGCCACCCCCATATCACCCTGTCCTTGAGCCAATAGGCTTGCTCCTACACCTCTGAGGGTCCCAGAAGACTAGTAAGAAAGTGCTGCCTTCCATGCAAAAACCCTTTACTTCTACAACCACCATGCCACGGTGGCATTTATATATTGTCTCTTCATATGACCTTCTAATTACTTATAAATGCAACCTCTGCCTCCCCTCCCTATGTCTTTTAACATAGCTTTCCGTTCCTTTGTTCATTCTTTTTTTAAGGTAAAATGTAGGTTGTAGTAGATTGTGAACTAAGTATGGGATACTTAATTATTATGACTCAATGGTCTGAGTTTAGCTTTGTGCTTCAGAAACTAGAATACAGTTCCTAGAGTACCCATCCTTCTGCGATAGCTTGGGCAAGTCACTTAATCTACCCTTTGCCTCATTTTCCTATTGGTAAAAATGGGGAAAGTGTTTCATTTTCTCTGAAGGGTTGAGAGAGTAAATTATTACTGATTGTGAGATCATCAGAAACTGGTGACAGAGGACATTTAAATAGCAATATCATGCTTTTTAATTATGATATTATCATTCACTAACTCTTCTCACACACCTGATTTCATATCATGTTGATATGTACAATTATACTTATCTCTTGCCTGCAAGTCTGTGGAAAAAAATCACCTTTTAAATAGAAAATAGTCTGTTTTGTAATAATGTATTGTCTCTCAGTTACTTCAGAGACCCAAATATGTTTCCCATTATATTAGCCAGGTGCAGTCTATAAATGGGGTGTTTATGGTGGAATCATATATACTTCAATACAGGTTTAGTAGTTTTATGTCAGAAAGAGGTAGTCCTGAAACCAAAACCATATACTTTACCTTCATAGAAATTGTTTTTTGTCTGATGTAAAGTAAAACTCACAAATTGGAACAAAACATATTGGACACTGCACAAATTTTAGAGAGAAACCTAAAGAAATATTGATCATCTAGGTAAGTTGAAGAAAAACTGGAAATACGAGTAGAAATGAAGCAAACAGGCATTCGTTTTTCTGAATGCTTTATAGTCTGCACGTAACTATAGGTGATCCTTTGCTTTTCTCTATTGAAGAGCCACACCGAAACGCGAATTGGGATTGTTCTTAGGTAAGTGGTTAGTTGAAAGTAAACAACCAGAAATGGTACTAGAAAAGTATTTATTTTCAACGCAGACAAATCTTGTGTAGAAGTTTGTCATGGTAGAATCTGTAGTTATCTGCATATCCCCAAATTATGGTATGAGATGACTGTAAAGGCATCACTGGAAAACCTCAGCTTCTAATGGCTTGAGTCTATTAATCTAATGTCTGTGTGTATACAATTCAAACCATTTTACAAATATTTATCATTAAGAGAGGTTGCCAGAACCTATCTGGATACAGTATCTGTAAAGAGTCTCAACACAGAACATTGAATTTAATACAAATGGCTTTAAGTAGGTCTGGACATACTGTTTTGTATGCAATAAGAATCATCCTGCAACCTTATCCCAAATGGAAAGGGAATCTTTACTTGGGGACCTCTAAAGAACAGTTTTAAATTTTTGTGCCTCCTACGAAGCCAATGTACAGAAATGGCCCAAGACAGGCTACTCCTGGGTTATAGGATACGATACTTTCCACCCTCCCACCCTTGTACAAACATTAACTAATGAATCTATTCTATTCAAATTCTTCCTCACCTTAGTATGCTCTTCAGGACAGCATTAAGAAGGGTGGCTAGCATCTATTGCATATAGGATTTGTTCTCCTGCCCTTTCCCCTGATGGAGAAGCATGTGAAATAGTGTCTCGTTTCACTAGGATTCAAAGAGGGATTAAACTTCATATAATGGGAGAGAACTGACAATGAAATTAGATAGCCTCCTGAATCTATTTAAAAAAATCTTTGGTTCCCTTCTAAAGAACGAGCATAAGCCAACCAGAAGCACCTATAAAGGAACTTCCTCTGTAGACAGGTTATTCCATAATTATTTACTGTGGCATTTTTTGCACTTTATTAAAGTCCAACCTCTGCTACTCGATGTGCAACAAAATTGAGTAACATGCTACAGATAACATCTTCCAGTCAATATAAAGAAATCTACCTAGCAAAATGTCTGCCTTGAGAACACTGGAAGGCCTCCTGTGCAATATTACCCATAACCTCTGGGTTGGTGACCACTGCTCTAGGGCACCTGGTACTGACTGCCCCTAATCATACAATACTGGACTAAATAGACCACTGTTCTGGTCCAGCGTGGCTGTTCCTTTGTTCCGTTAACACATCAGCTTAGTTACTTCCACCTGCTGAAATCTGTAAGCATATAGCTGACACTGAAATATTATCTCAGTGTGCTTGGAGTACCTTTTTTCTTTCTGCTTAGCTTTGACACATTGCAAAACTCATGACCGTCATCCAATGTTGATCCCCACTGATATTAAACAAAAGTGAAGGCTCTGAGCACTGCCAGTTGTTGTGTATCTGGAGGAATATTACACAATATTAGCTTTCAACAGCCTTGGGCCAGAATGGCCTTTATATTTATTGTGTGTGCTTTCAGCCTTGAACTGTGACTGTAAATAACCCAGCCATATTGATTTAATGTTCACGTCAGGTGAATCTCTTAACATTTTTTTTCCACTATCAGATGTTAAATGGTTTTCTCAAACTTTATAGTCAAACAAAATGCCTCCCACCATCACAGAAGTAAATAGTAGCATGGTGCATTCACATGGGGGGTCTGTGTGTTTCCACTTGAGCAGAAAACCACACAGAGGCAAGTTTAGCAATATATTGACAGGTACATGACTGTTGGTATGAAAATAGACCTGCTGGCTACATTTTGTTTCTGGGCACATGCACACGTCTTGGCATCCCTGTAGTCTGTCTTACAGATACATTTCTGTATTGTTTAAATCAACAGCACTGTCCCTTGAAAATGGATATGAGCCCATAGAAATAGATCTCAATGCCATCATCTGAATATCCTTGTCCAGATGATGTGCAAATCTAGGCAAAGCTAAAATGGGGCTTTTCAGTATGAAACTAAATGTACTCAAGGGATTGTGATTAGAGCTGAAGGGCAATTTTGAAATTGTTTCTTGCCCATATGTGAAAAGAGAACAAAACCTTTATCTGAAAAGGGAAGAACATACTATATATTGGCCTGTTGGGTTCTCCCTATTCCAGATCAGAGTGTTTCATCCTAGTTCACTCCAATTTAAGTTGAAGGATTTGAACCCAAGACATCACCACCAGAGCTGGTTAGCCTATCAGTATACTGGATTGCAATAGCTTTGCTTATGTTGAATAATATTGTATTTGCCAAAGATTTCTATTGACTGTGGTCAGGAACAGAGAGGGGGAGGGTCTGAATTGTGTGGGTTTCTTCTGCTCATCCTTTGACAGATAATCAGTCCCTTTACTATCAAAATCAATCCTGTTAAAAGCTTCTTGAAGGAAGTTATGAAAGATTTTCTCCCCCTCCCTTTCTTCAAGTATTTGAGGACAAAATGTAATTTTTAGTGCTACACAAACCTGCATGTGAAATTTCAAATGAGGTATTGGAAAATAATTTCTCTTCTGGGTTAAAATGTAGTTCCTGTCAACACGGGATACCTGGGCGATTGTCCTCTCTGCCATGCCAGTTGCCTGGTGCCTGCACTTTATCCTCTGATGTTCCAGAATTGGTTATTGAAATATTTTGACTTTCACTGTAGAAAGGGCCTAATGATTTCAATACCCATTTCAGAAAGCACAAGGCTTTTCTCCTGTAACAGAGTTTAGCTTGCTTTCTTTACCAGCTGTTGCAAAAACTGAGACCAAGGAAGGAGGTGCCTGGCAGGCTAGTCCCAGAACTTAAACCTGTTGTGAACTTTGGAATGACTTTCCTAATGTAGATTGAAATGATGTTGAATGAGGGGAGGGGAGTAGTATTTTTTTTTAAGTACATTTAAATTATTTCTATCTCATGTACTTGACTAAATGTTTTTCCTCTCCATGATTTGAATTATCTGAAGCTATGTATAAACCGTATTTAAAAGCATGTTCTGACACGGGTTGTTAACAAGTGCAACTAGAAGGTGATTCTGGAGCCTTTCCAAACAAGTGGCCTCCAAATTATAACTCCCACCATGCTTGAGCTTCCACAAAAAGCATTTTGACGCTTGTTATCCTGACAATTGCCTTTGTGGTGACAGCATGGCACTGAAAGAGGGAACGCAAGCTTTGAACCCACTTGTGTGGGGAAGGGGGGAACCGTAAGACAAACTCACCAGTCGATTACATACCTCCTCTGCTTGAAACTGGTCCCAAGCATCTGAGGCCCTTCGCAGCTCGTGTCATGGATGAGACCCCACTTATGGCAGCTGCCTTGTAGGCTGACACCAGATGGTGACTTGGGACAATTCAGAGCAGGAAGCTTAAGGTGTTGCAGCTTCAGGTATAGCCACAGGCTTCTGTAGTTGGGGGACTGTTAATATGCATCCTTTGTACCTATCTATACATACTTTCTCACCAGTGGCTTATGCTCTCGTGGACCCAGACTCCCATCAACCTGTGCTGCAGCCTGATGACTAGAGCCCAAAGCCCCAGATGAACTCCTGAGCCTGTCAGGTGTGGCAAGTCTATCTGGAGCAGGCAGTCTTCTTAGTACTGATTATTGCAGCAACTTTCCTATCTGCCCAATTTGTT